ATGGAGGAGGTCACGGCGAAGCGCGACGAGCTGGAGGGCAAGCGTCGAGCAGCCGCGGTCGAGGTGGACACACTCGAAGAGCAGCTGGTGGAATTCTTACTGAAAGGTACTGGCAAGCCTAACGGTAGGGGGTGCGTCCTGGGCCCGTGCTTCGGGAGCGATGCCTGAAGGCACCCGCGAACCCAGGAATCCGTCCTCAGATAAACGGGGTTCGGACTACCGTCCCGCGACCAAGTCCCTCCTACTCGGTCCCCCTGGGCCGCTGAGCCCCTCGGATCGAGTGGCGATGGAGAGACAGGAGGCTCCGTGTCCCGAGGCCGACGCGGCCGTTGTGACTCGTGGTGGGGAGCGCCCTCCCTCTGGACTGGCCGGGCAGGCTTCAGTGCTGGCATCCGTCGGCTTGCTGGAGTCCGGGCTCCCCGGGGCGAAGGCCGGCGATGGACACGATGCCTCGGGCGGCGAGCCTCTGTTGAGCCTGCACCCGCCCTGTCGGGCCAGCCGCCACCCCCACTCCTCCTCAATCTCGGAAGGGGCTTGGAAGCGGGCTCAGGAGGGGAGGAGCGCCACACACACACACACAAACAAACAAACAAACAAACAAACAAACGAACGAACGAACAAACAAACAAACAAACAAACAAACAAACAAACAAACAAACAAAAAAACGAACGAACGAACAGACAAACAGACAAAGAAACAGACAAACAAACAGACAAACGAACAAACAAACAAACACACAAACACACAAACACAAGCACCTAAACACACACACACACACTCACACACACAAGCACGCACGCACGCACGCACGCACGCACGCACGCACGCACGGACGCACGGACGCACGCACACACACACACACACACACACACACACACACAACACACACACACACAACAACACAACACAACAAAACACAGCACAGCACAGCAGACCACAGCACAGCACAGCACAGCAGACCACAGCACAGCACAGCACAGCACAGCACCGGAGTGGCTAGCATTCCCCGCCGTGCCTGCCGTGCGGGACGAGCCCTGGTGTGGCTAGCATTCCCCGCTGTGGTGTGCAATGGTGGTCCATGTCAGTCTGTAAATCGTGGAGTTTTGGCGGCGAGGTCAACTATTCCGCTTCACCGTCTATTTATCAGGCGTCTACTGTATGGGCTCAGCTGCTATTGAGTGCCGTGGTATCCACCGACTGGATTGTCTGCAGTTGGTGGCTTCCCTCGTGCATTCAAGTTCGCCATGGTTTTGGTGCTCAGTCTCTGTCTGCGGGGCGAGCCCTGGTGTGGCTAGCATTCCCCGCCGTGGTTGCAGTGGTGGTCTATGTCAGCTGGTAAATCGTGGAGTTTGGGCGGTGATGTCAATCCTTTTGCTTCACCTTCATCTCTCAGGCGTTTGCTGTATGGGCCCTGCTGCTATAGTGTGCCTCGATATCCACAATCAGGTTGTCTACAGTTGGTGGCTTCCTCGTGCATTTCACGGTCTCTGCATGTTTGTAAATCGTGGAGTTTCAGCGGCGATTCAATTTCTGCTTCACCGTCTTTCTCTGGCGTTTTCTGCAGGGGCTCAGAAGCTCTAGCCGCTTCTGTATCCACAACTGGATTGTATTGCAGCGCTCAAATTTAAGTTATAAATGCTTGGGGCGTGCTGCGGGCTTCTCCTCGGGGCATGGTTGTGTATCTATTTCGCTATCGAGGCTGGTGGTGGTCTTTGCGATCTCTTCGGGAGGTAGTTCGATGACCGCGCCACTGTGCGCGACAAGAGCCGTATCGAGTCAGCATCATGCCAGCTTAGAAGGTGGAAAGGTATTTCTTCCGTACTTCGTGGTTGGGAGTCCATGTTGCAGCAGGCTCCAATTCACTAAAGCAGTTTCATGGTCTGGAGTATGGAGTTGTGGGCACGTCCGTCGCTTGCTCTGTTGGAGGGAATCTTCTCCTCGGCATCATACGGCGGGAAGTGTGCGTCGGCGACTTCACCTCGTGAGTGGGGCGCTCCAGACTGGTCTCACGAGTCCTGCACCCTATTGCAGGTGACTGAGCTCAGGCTTCATATCCCTACGGGATGGCGGAAATCCTGGAAATCCTCCTTAGCAGCATCATTGCTCATCACCACCACCACCACCATCTAGACCCGCACAACCGTCATCATCATCATCATCACCACCATCACCCGCATCATCCACGTCATCACAATCGTCATCATCGCACTCATCATCATCAGCAGCATCAGTATCAGCATCAGCATCGTCGTCGTCATCATCATCATCATCACCACCATCATCACCACCATCAGCATCATCATCATCATCATCATCATCATCATCATCAGCATCACCATCATCGTCATCGTCATCGTCATCGTCATCGTCGTCATCATCACCATCATCAGAATACTCATCCTCATCAGCAGCAGCATCATCATCACTATCGTCATCAGCATCATCAGCAGCAGCATCATCAGCATCAGCATCATCGTCATCAGCATCATCTGCATCAGCATCATCGTCATCAGCATCATCGTCATCGTCATCAGCAGCATCATCGTCAACATCATCAGCATCACCATCATCATCAGCATCGTCATCATCGACAGCATCAGCATCATCATCATCAGCGTCATCAGCATCGTCATCAGCAGCATCACCAGCATCCTAAACATCACCATCATCATCGTCATCATAATCTTGTTCGTCATCATCATCAGCAGCATCATCATGATCATCGTATTCAGCATCATCAGCATCAACATCATCATAAGCATAATCGTGATCATCATTATCAGCAGCATGAGCATCAGCAGCATCATCATCATCGTCATCAGCATCAGCATGACCAGCATCATCCTCATCGTCATCTTCATCAGCAGCATCATAATCATAATCAGAATTACCATCTTCATCGTCAAGAACATCATCATCATCATCATCATCATCATCATCAGCATCATCATCATCGTCAGCATCATCGTCACTGGCATCAACACCATTACCAGAATCGTCAGCGACAACACCACTAGCATCAGCATCATCATCAGTAGTATCAGCATCACCATCATCGTCGTCATCGTCAACATCATCATCGCCATCATCACCGCCATCATCATCGTCACCGTTATCATCATCAACGTCAACATCATAATCAGCAGCATCATCAGCAGCATCAGCATCATCATAGTCAGAATCATCATAGTCAACAGCATCATCGATATCATCGGCATCCTCACCATTATCGTCAAGATCATCAGTATCATCACTGTGCGTCTCATCATCAGCATCAGCATCATGTTCATCATCATCATCATCAGCAGCAGCAGCAGCATCAGCATCAGCATCAGCATCATCATCATCATCATCATCATCACCATGATCAGCATCATCATCATTATCATCATCACAATCAGCTTCATCACCACCCCCCACCAACATCATCATCATCATCATCATCAGCATCATCACCATCATCATAATCAGTATCATCACCAGCAGCAGCAGCGGCATCAGCATGGTCATCCGCCTCACCGTCATCATCATCATCGTCATCAGCACGAGCACCCTCATCATGTTCATCATCATCATCATCATCATCATCCTCATCATCATCATCATCATCTGCATCATCATCATCATCATCAGCATCATCATCATCATCGTCATCAGCGTCATCAGCATCATCAGCATCATGTTCATCATCATCATCATCATCATCATCATCATCGTCATCATCATCATCATCAGCATCAGCATCAGCATCAGCATCCTCAGCATCATCATCGTCAGCATCATCGTGATCATCAGTATCAGCAGCAGCATGAGCATCAGCAGCATCATCATCAGCATCCTCATCAGCAGCAGCATCAGCTTCATCATGGTCAGCATCATCATCGTCATCAGCAACATCAGCATCAGCAGCAGCATAATCATAATCAGAATTACTATCTTCATCGTCAACAACATCATCATCAGCATCATGATCAGCATCATCATCACCGTCATCAACATCATTACAAGAATCGTCAGCAACAACACCACTAGTATCATCAGCAACATCAGCAGCAGCATTAGCAGCATCATCATCGTCGTCATCGTCAACATCATCATCATCATCATCATAATTATCATCATCGTTATCATCATCGACGTCAACATCATAATCAGCAGTATCATCAGCAGCAGCAGCATCATCATAGTCAGAATCAGCATCAGCATCAGCAGCAACAGCATCATCATCAACAGCATCATCGATATAATCGGCATCCTCACCATCATCCATATCATTAGTATCATCACTGAGCGTCTCATCATCAGCATCATGTTCGCCATCATCATCAGCAGCAGCAGCATCAGCATCATCATCATCATCACCATGATCAGCATCATCATCATCATCATCATCATCATCATCATCATCATCATCATCATCATCATCATCACAGTCAGCGTCATCGCCCCCCCACACCAACATCATCATCCCCATCATCAGTATCGGTATCATCACAAGCAGCAGCAGTCGCATCAGCATGGTCATCCGCATCATCGTCATCATCATCGTCATCATCATCGTCATCATCAGATTCATCATCATCAGCATCAGCATGATCAGCATCATCATCCCCATCATCATCATCTTCATCTTCATCAGCATCAGCATCAGCATCAGCATCATCAGCATCATCATCATGATCATCATTATCAGCAGCAGCATGAGCATCAGCATCATCAGCAGCAGCATCATCATCAGCACCATGATCATCAGCAGCATCAGCAGCAGCATCAGCATCATCATCATGATCCTCATCATCATCATTCTCATTATCATCCTCGACATCTCCTTCATCCTCATGGCGCCTCATCCTCCGCCCCACCCTGCTCTGTCTACACCTCCTCGGCATCCCCCTCACCCTCCTTCTTAATCCCTCCTCCTCCTCCCTCCTCCCTCCACCTTGATCCCTCCTCCATCCCTCCCCCCACACCCAGATCCCCGCCCAACGGGGGGGGGCGCCACGCTCAGTGCTCCAGGCAGCCTCACCTTGGACGCGCCACGCGGGGACTCGGGAGCAGCGACGAGGGAAGAGAGGGCGGACATCAGGACCCGAGGGCGAGGAGAATGGATCGGTGTTTCTGCTGTCACCGGGCGCGTTCCACTACTCGTAAAGTGCCTACTCGCAAACGTCCGAAAAACACATGTCCGCTTTCGTGTAATTTATCGTGGATCCTCCGCGGCGGATCCAGGCCATTTGCGAATAGCTACTTTGCGAGTAGTGGAACGCGCTCGTCTATGCTGGGGCTGATGGCGGGGACTCGGGAGCAGCGGGAGGGGAGGGGAAGAGAGCTCCAAGACGGGGAGCTCGAAACGACTCTTCACGCTCTGCGCTCCCCGGCCACACCCGAGACTGCCATCAGGCCCCCAAGGGGCCCCCCAGAAGCCCCTGGAGGCCCCCAAGAGGTCCCCAAGGGGCCCCCAAGGGCCCCCAGAAGCCCCAGAAGCCCCCAGAAGCCCCAGAAGCCCCCCAGGCCCCCAAGGGGCCCCCCAGAAGCCCCAGAAGCCCCCAGAAGCCCCTGGAGGTCCCCAAGAGGCCCCCAAGAGGCTTAAGTGAGGCCCCGGGAGGCCCCCAAGAGGCCCCGAATCCCCAAGACATCTCCGAAACCGCGGAGGCTTCCGAAAAGCCTCCCAAGAGATCCTCGCAAGCATCCAAGAGGCCTCTGTCGTGCAACCTAGGAACCGTGGCGGGATGGGCAGAAGGCCACTAGATACTCCAAACATACTTTCAGGCAACCATCGGCAAGGACAGCTGGCATGCACGCTACATCAAGACGCGCGATGCTGCGCGCCACTTCGCCGAACTCCCAGGGAGCCAGCGGGGATGCGCCGCCGGCGCCCTCGACCTACATGTAAAGAGAGATATTGATAGAGGTAGAGATGGAGATCGAGACAGACTTAGAGGCAGCTGCAGAGAGAGAGTGTGTGTCACTCGTACACAATAGGTCTGTTCATCTTAGCAGGCGGCGGAAGCCAGCTCAGAAATAGAAGTGGAGAAGCTGGCTTTCAAGAGCCAGGGCGGCGCGTCCGGCTCGGCAGGCGGGGCCGGGAGGCCCAAGAAGCCGAAGAAGGCATAGGCGTCGCTGGCTCGACGCAATCGCCCGGTCCGTCCCCTTCGGCTTCGGCCAGTTCTGCGATGCGGGGGACGAGATCGCGGAGCCAGAGGACCAGAGCGAGTTCGCACGTGGCGTCCGCTCGGACTCAGATAATACCGAGTAGCACGACCCAGATTACACGATCGGGGGCCCAGAGGGCGAGCCCGGGTGCCACGAGGGCGACTTCCCAAGCTTGTTCTCCTGAGTCTTTCGCTTCTGAGCCTGCGCCTTCCGCCCTTTTTCCCCCCCCTCCTGGCCTCCCCTCCCCTCCCCCCGCCCCCGCCCCTCCTCCGAGGCAGCGGCCCCTCACTGACTTTTTCGGTCGTTCTGATCCCCGGAGGTCTTAGAGGGTAGCGTAGTAAGTTGTTACATACATGTCTGTCGCTGAACAGGCCGAGGCGCTAACATGTTTTACTGCGTTTGAATCATGTTGGGCTCCAGAGCTCATAGGGGCCCCTGCCAATAGTGGTCAGATTTATTTTATATTATTTTCCTTACGCGTTTCGGTGTGAATGCTTTTCTAGTGGGGAGGCTGTGGCCCCCGCCCTCCTCAGGGGAGGGGGGGGGGGGGGGGCGCCCTTACAGAGCCGTCCTCCTGCTGGAGGGCGCGTAGGGGCGGGGCTGGGGCATGAAGATACCCACCTGCCTTTGCTCGCCCTTCGTCGGGCTTCTGGTTTAGCATAGTGCCTATTCCAGCGCCGTCCACACGGTAGTTTAGAGCCCCTCACTAGACCTCCTGCGCCGACGGATCATTGGGGGTAGTGCGCGTGTGTGTGTCAGAAGTAGAAGTTGAAGCCGTCGAAGACAGCAAAGAAGAAGATCCCATGCATGTTCCGCTAGAAGCTCGCTTCCATTCTTGAACGGGCGAGTCAGGCATTTCGCCATCGAGGGGGCTCTCGCGCTGCATCACCCTGAGGTTCACAGCTTTGAAGCTCTTGCCAGGACCCCCTGCGAGAGAGACGCCGACCCGACCATTCTCGAAGTTGACCACCATCCCCACTTTGTCATTGTAGGACACCTGCCGCAGGCCGACGGTCGTCACAAGGTCGTGCAAGGAGATCGGCCTGCCATCGACGTCCTTGGGCCCCAGAACCCTGGGCTTTGAGGTAGGAGAGGAACGAGAACTTGTTATGAGGGAGTCATTGGCAACTGTGATCGGGTGGTGGTCCGTCGCCTCAGCGTTGTCGTCCTTGACCTGCAAGACGTGCCTTGACAAAGTAGGAGAGGGCGGTCTTGGCGTGAAGGAGTCATTGGCATCTGTGAGCGGTTTGGGGTCCGTCGCTTCGATGCGGTCGGGATCGCCCTGCGGGACGTTCCGCGACGAGGTAGGAGAGGGCGCGCTTGGTTTGATGGAGTCACAGGCGTCCATGACCGTCGTCTGCATCGTGCTCTTCTCGCTGAAGATGTTGTAATGCACGGATTCGAACCTCGCCTCCATCTCGTCGCGGATTTTCTTGCCCTCGGCAGCCAGGGAGGACCGCAGCGCTGCCGACAAGGCTGTGAGAGAGGAGTCCAAGGAGTGCTTCAGGCCAGTCGTGATCTGCTCGTTGGTGCTACGGTCGGCTTCTGCGACGATAGCCCGCACCTTGGAGGGCAGGCGCTTGTCCAGGGAGGCCTCCACAGCACGCCCTAGCGATCGGCAAAGGGTCACCACATCCTCCCTGATGGATTGGACTTGGGAGGCGAGGTCCAGGTCGGGGGCAGCGCCCGTACGGAGCGCATCCAATTCGCGCATCAAGATAGCAATCGTGGCATTCTGGGCGTCAACCAGCATATTCAATTGATGCGTGCAGTCCGTGCCGGAATTTGTAGCATGGCCCTCCGAAACAGCATAGGCGGCGCGCGGAAGGAATTCGGGAGCGGCTTTGTCCAAGCCAGGACGAGCGACTCCGCAATCAATTAACTCAGCCAATCCAATAATTACCGGCGCCCCCCCAGACGATCGAACAGCTTCCGGTGGTGTAGGCCGATCTGCATGTGGGACGAGGTCCTGAAGGCGAATTGGAACGGGTTGGTTCAACAGCGTCGTAGAATATGAAGTCGTCGGCGTCGGCATCCGAGCGCGGGGGCGTGCGACCGCGAGGAAGCCTCCTCCCGCGCTCTGGCCTTCTTCGCTCGCAGAAGGCGAATACCAGCAGGAAGCGCGCGTGCTTGGCCCTGTTGGCCAGGGCGTTCACGAAGAGCAGGGCATCCACGAACCATGCAGCGGGCCCCCTGCGGAGCGAGAGGATGGCGTTAGCAGTGGACGCGAACTCCCGCCCCGAGAACATGACGAGGAGGAAATGCATCACGAGCTGGATGGAGACTAGCAGGCACCTCGCCGCGAGCGCAGCAGCCGCCAGCGGAGCCGCAAGGCACGCCATGAGGGAGTCAGCATTCGCTTTGCCGCACAAATTGAATTGCGCAGCGCACTTTGGCAAGCCTGGCTTGAGCCAAAATGGCTTGAGCCAAAATGGCGTGTGTGTGCGCGTGTGTGTGTGTGAGAGTGTGAGAGAGAACCAGAGATGGGGGGGAGAGAGAGAGAGAGAGAGAGAGAGAAAAAGAAAGAAAGAAAGAGAGAGACAGAGAGAGAGAGAGAGACAGACAGACAGAGACAGAGTCAGAGACAGAGACAGAGACAGAGACAGAGACATTCACAACGAGACAGCAAGAGACAGAGAGAGGGGAAGAGGAAGACGGAGATGCAAATGCACATAGAACACTTCCATTGACAGAGACAGCAGCCCAGACAGACAGAGAGACAGCGAAATAGAGAGAGAGAGAGACAGACCGAGGACCACAAAACCATCACCCAGGCTGGCACTGAATCGAAATGAGTGGGGATCGGCACTGGGCCCCATGTCCCCCTTTGGCCTTCATACCAACTCCGAGATCAGGCATCGAGCTGGAAAAAGAGCCATCTGCGCCGTGGTACAGCAGTACCGCAAATTCCCCGTGATAGAGCCGACGGGCCATGTGGGGCTGATATGCCTAAGATATTCCCTGAATATCAGCGCGCTGAGCGCTCGATACGGAGATAGTCTGGCCAAGCGCAAGATCGAACGATATGAAAGAACCAATAATTACTATCCTCAGCATAGGCATGATCAGCGTCGCCCTCGTGGCACATTTGCCAACATCATCACAATAGTCACCATCATCACCACCACTGCAATCAGACCGTTGTCATCATCACGATCGTCATCTTCGCCGTGACCTTCATCACATCAAGCGCCATGCGTTCGCGTCCCTCCCCCTCAGCAGCTCACCACTCCCAGCTGCCGTACAACGTCTTCTTCCCGCCGCCGCTGTGGTGACGATCTGTCGAGCATGTCAGCTGCGCGGGCAGGGACAAGTTGCATGAACAGCGGCCGCTTCGCCATGAGATCCTCGGGATTCGATGGAGGAATAGGAGGGGGAGGAGGGAAGTGCAAGAGAGGCTGCTGCAGCAGCAGGAATCTTGGTGAAGCTCACAAGCCCGTCTCCAGGCATCTGACCGCGCCGTGAGGATGGAACGGCAGGGCCAGCGTGGTGTCAAAGGGAGGGCTCCTGGCTCACGCAGCCCCCTAAAGCGGCATGCTGCGCAGAAAAGGCGCATGCGCGCCACCGTACGCGGGCACCCTCACGCGCCCCCCCCCACTGCGGGCTTAGAGGACTGGCGGCCGTAGGCTGCCGCTGCTGCTGGTTCTCGCGGAGCCGCCCAGGGCATCGAAGCGTCCGAAGCCACCCTCCGTCCTCGGCGGGCTCCTCGCCCCAGCGGGCGAGGAGGGGGTATCGCCGCCACCCCTGCCCATGACCGCAGCAGCGGGGAAGCCTGCCCCCCGGCCTGGTCACCGCGCAGACGGCCGGACTGCTGGTGATGAAGGAACGACTGGCTGGTGAAGGAGACAATGGTGAGGACGACGGAGAAAAAGCAGAATCAGAGGTTCGGGCGGCAACATCCACGGAACCTGACCCCCGTTCGACCCCCCACCTCCCCCAGGCGCTAGCCCGAGCACGGTGGCGGACTCGCGCGACAGCGCAAATGGATACAAGCGACAGGCCGATGAAGTGGACGGCGGTGACGACGACAGAAAATTAGCCTGGCGAAGGACCCGACCATACGCAGTTGTAAGGGACTCAGTTGTGAGAGTCGTCTTCGGTGGCTCTCCTTATGAGGCCTCGAAATGTGTGAGGGGCATGCCGAAATGGGGCGGGGGAAACGCACGCGGACCCTGTCACTGCGGCCTTCGGTGGAGCTCGTATGAGGCCACGAAACGTGTGAGGGGTGTGCCGAAATGGGGCGGGGGAACATATGTGAACAGTGTCACGGAGGTCTTCGGTGGAGCTCCCGAAGGGGCCACGGCCCGTGTGAGAGGTGTGCCGAAATGGGGCGGGGGGACGCATGTGGACTGTGCCACTGGGGCCTTCGGTGGAACTCCCTACGTGGCCACGAAATGTGTGAGGGGTGTGCTGACATGGGGCGGGGGGACGCACGTGGACTGTACCACTGGGGCCTTCGGTGGAGCTTCCGATGGGGGCACGAAATGTGTGAGGGGTGTGCCAAAAAAGGCCGGGGGACGCATGTGGACTGTGCCACTGGGGCATTCGGTGGAGCTCCATATGGGGCCACGAAACGTGTGAGGGGTGTGCCGAAAGAGGGCGGGGGCACGCATGTGGACTGTTCCACTGGGGCCTTCGGAGGAGCTCCCTACGGGGGCACGAAACGCAGAAGGGACGTGCCGAAACGGGGCGGGGGGACGCATGTGGACTGTGCCACTGGGGCCTTCGGTGGAGCTCCCTATGGGGCCACGGAACGTGTGAGGGGTGTGCGGACGTGGGGCGGGGGGACGCATGTGGAGCCTGCCACTGGGGCCTTCGGTGGAGCTCCCTACGTGGCCACGAAACGTGTGAGGGGTGTGCTGAAATGGGGCGGGGGGGCGCATACTGGCCCTGCCACTGGGGCCTGAGGTGGAGCTCCCTACGGGGGCACGAAACGCAAAAGGGACGTGCCGAAACGGGACGGGGGGACGCATGTGGACTGTGCCACTGGGGCATTCGGTGGAGCTCCATATGGGGTCACGAAACGTGTGAGGGGTGTGCCGAAAGAGGGCGGGGGCACTTGCATGTGGACTGTTCCACTGGGACCTTCGGTGGAGCTCCCTACGGGGGCACGAAACGCAGAAGGGACGTACCGAAACGGGGCGGGGGGACGCACGTGGACTGTACCACTGGGGCCTTCGGTGGAGCTTCCGATGGGGCCACGGAACGTGTGAGTGGCGTGCCGAAATGGTGTCGAAATAGTTGTGCGGAAGGCAGAGGCAGGGATGGCAGGAGGAGGAGGGGTAGGAGGAGTGAGGAGTAAGGAAAGCTGGGCACTGTCTCTTCAAAACGAGGGCCCAACACCACAGGATGGTTGGGAAAGAGAAGCAGAAGATGAAACTATTTTTGGTTTGGCCTAGAGGGCCTACGTACGCACTGTACAGCAACACCCAGTGAACAATGACTCCTCCCCCTGGCGAGTCATGCTGTAGAGGTGATGAGCTCAAGGAAACGGTCAAAGTCGTCCACTGCAATCTCGATGCATGACTTGTCGAAGAAGTCATAGGCGAACTTCAACGAAGGATCAGCCCTGAGAGCGCTTCGGAAGATGGAGCCGAAGCAGTCGCCCTCCCAGGCACCTTTCTTCGGCGTGGTCCCCACGCACAGATAGCTCTCCCGCACACGGTCGTGCAGGATCATCAGCAGCGGCTTCTGGCTGTCGCCCTTCGTCCCCGACAGCTCCGAGAAGAACACCTGCAGCAGCCAGACCGACAGCTTCCGAACAGAGAGGCTGTGTCTGAAGATGTGCCCTGGTTGCTCCACCTTGCACCAACGGAACCTGCTGCACTTGCGCATGAGCTTCGTGTCTACGATCATCCGCGCCATGCTCTGCACTGCCTTCGCGACTTCGACAGCCAGGCCGAGGCCCTCCTTCAGGCTCGCCGAGTCCTTGTTGAGGACGGCGTCTGTGGCTCGATAAAAGTTCTCGCACATGGTCTCCCGCTCAAGCACCTGGATCGCCTGAAGATCTCGATGGCCATCTGCATTCGTTGGCAGCTTATCTAGGCTGGCGCCGCTGAGCGAGGCAGGTACAGAGCTCAGCTGCGCGAGGAGGATGTGTGCGGCATCTGAGCAAGACAGCTCGTTCAAGAAGAGGGACGTCGAGACGTCGTCCAGGAGCCCGTTGTTGCGAACGAATTGGTCGAGAAACATGTTGCGCTCAGTTAGGCCGACGTCCTTCGGAAGCCAGAACTCGCCGAGAGCCGACATTCCGTCGGATTGAAAGTTGCTCGATACTTGTTCGAAGTCTACCTGCTCATCAGGCGTCGACCAGACTTCGAGCAAGTGTTGGCCCGATGCGGTTCCGTCTCGTGCGGCCTACTCCATATGCCCCGCTCTGGACACTAGATGAAGAAAAAGCGGCACAAACATAAACTTTCGAGGGTCTGCGCGGATTTCTTGGATCTGAGATGGACCCCCCTCCCTGGCGCGGGGAGCGCGCCAGGGGCGCCGCCAGGGGGTCCGAGCGCAGATCCAAGAAATCCGTGCGGAGCGCCAGAAGTTTATGCTTATGCCTGTTTTTGTTGTTCTTCGACCGAATTCAAAACATCGCAACGCTTGGGCGGCCATACTTTAGCATGGGGGGAACGGGTCCTGAGGGAAACGGGTCCTGGACCCTAGGACCTTCCCCCAGGACGAGATCTTCATCCTGAGTCGCTCGCTCTCTGACACTCCCAGGGCCCGTGGAGCGCCCCTGGGAGCCCGAACACGGCGAAGAACCTCAGGATCCGGTTCCCCTATCACGAAGTTGTCGCTTCCACCGGCTTCTGCCGGCCAGCCGCCGGCGTCCGCCTTCTAGAGGCCTCCCAGATGGGGTCCGAGTAGATAGGGGTCGAAGGATCGCGCCGCGTCGCCAATGCATCGGCGTCGGCGACGTCGCCGATGCATCGGCGACGCCGGCGCGGAGAAAAACGGGCTCCACAGCAAGACGCATCGCCAATGCATCGGCGATGCGGCGCGATCCTCCGACCCCGTCTACTCTGACCCCATCTGGGAGGCCCAGACCCTGGACCTTCAGAGCCTCTCCCCTCCTGCCTCCGCCAGCCGCCCGTCGGCCGCCCGTCCGCCGGACGAGGCGTTGGCGTCTCTTCTTCGGCCCGAAGAAGAGAGGCCAACGCCTCGATCCCTCGATGGCGAGGCCCTCTCTTCGGCGGCGAGCCTGGGGGAGGGGGAAGCGAGAAGGGGCGGGCTCAAAAATCCGCCGGCCTTCTGAGAAGTTCTCTGGGCCTTCCCCGAAGACGCAGAATAAACTTCTCAAAGGCCGGCGGGCTTCTGAGAAGTCCCGCCGCCTTCTGAGAAGGCCCTCTCCTCCTCACTTCCCCGCCTCCCTCGCCGCTCGGCTCGGCCCCCCCAGCGCCTCCAGAAGGCCGCGCACCGAAGGCCACTCCAGCGAGTGCTCGCTCTCGCGTGCAGCCGAATTACTTGCTCTGGCCCCCGCAGGCACTAGAAGAAGAAAAAAAACGCATAACACACAAACTTTTAGCACTCCGCGCGGATTTCTTGGACCTGCGCCGCACCCCCCTTCCCTGGCGCGCGGAGCGCAACAGGGGCGGCGCCGGAGGCGCCGCCAGGAGGGGGGGCCCAGCGCGGATCCAAGAAATCCGCGCAGAGCGCATAAAGTTTATGTTTATGGCGTTTTTCTTCTTCGAGGCACACACGCTCTCGCTCGAATTCCGCCGGCCTCCGAAGGCCGTCCGCCAGCCTCCGCCCAGGACGACGAGGCCCGCCGCCCTCGAGTACTCGAGAAGCGGCGCCCCCCCCCCCCCCCCTCTGGAGCGCCCTGCTCCAGGTACCCTCTGGCCCCCGCGGGTCCTTCCCGTACTGCTGGAACTTTTTCTTGATGGTTTTCCGGATCGGGAGCTGCATCTTGCAGAAGAACTGGCCGTATTGGCTGGGGCTGATGCCCGCCTGCGCGAAAAAGCGCTTGAGCAGCCGCACCCCCTGGCTGGGGCTCCGATGTCTGGGAAGAGGAGCGCAGCGGAGGAGGGGCCCCCCTCCTTCAAGAAGGAAGACGCCTCCCCTTCTACCCAAAATGGGGAGGATGAGGAGGAAAAAGAGGAGGTGGAGGATGATGATGATGATGATGATGATGATGATGATGATGATGATGATGATGATGATGATGATGATGATGATGATGATGATGATGATGATGATGATGATGATGATGATGATGATGATGATGATGATGATGATGATGATGAGAGGAGGAGGAGGAGGAGGAGGAGGAGGAGGAGGAGGAGGAGGAGGAGGAGGAGGAGGAGGAGGAGGAGGAGGAGGAGGAGGAGGAGGAGGAGGAGGAGGAGGAGGAGGAGGAGGAGGAGATACAAGAATCGAGGGATCCGGGCTTTTGCCCCTCTTCGGCCTCCACGAGCCTCCAGAGGCCTCCACGGGCCTCCAAGGATCTCCAGGGAGCTCCAGATACCTCTGGGGATCTCATCTTCCTGGGATCACTGGGGGCGGGGCAGGGTTGAGCGGGAGCGGAAGCAGCAACAGTGGGAACAGCAGCAGCAGGAGGACGAGAGAAGGAGGAGGAGCAGCAGCACCAACATGAAGGGGAGCAGCAACAACATCGGAGGGAGGGGAAGCAGCAGCAGCAGCAACAGCAGCAACAGCAGCAGCAGCAGGGGGACAAGAAGAGGAAGAGGAAGAGGTGAAGATGGAGTCGGAGCAGTAGCAGGAGGAGCAGGTATAGGAGGTCCTCCC